CCCAAAACCCCAAAACCCCAAAACCCCAAAACCCCAGTTTTACCCGGTTAGATTGAAAATTTTCAACTGGGAAATTTAGTGGAGCAGCAGACAAAAGATATTAGATGCTAATTGAGGAATCACAGCTGAATTTGGACATGTAGATACTGTAGAGGTTGAGTGAGGCGTCTGGGGTGGCTAGAAAGGGTTTGAAGGAATCTCTGAATACTTTGGAAGCCTCTGATGACTATTTTTGGTATTAGAAGGAAACTTACTGTTTTAGAATGGATTATATCGAGCCTTGAGTCGAGTATTCTTAAGGGAATATCCTTCTGCTTTTTTGTAACGACATGGGCAGGATATATAGACTCTTTCTCCTTGCGAGAGAAATCTAATACTCTAATAAATTTGGTAGTATCAGCATAAATTAAACTATATTCTTGTCCTTGATTGATTTCTTCCAAAAACTCTCTCATGTTTGGTCTAAAATATAAAACTAATCTTACTCGAGAGATGAAAATAGTCTGTTTTGATCATGATAACAGAAATTCCTTAAATGATCTTGATCAACAATCTGAGAGCAGCTCTTTCTGTCACAAGTATGACTCTTGCTTATCAAATTATGCAAGAATTTTGAGTAACAAATAGGAAGTATCATCACATAATCTTCTCGCTCACTTTTGAATCAGAAATGAGGTTTGAGATAAACAATAGAGCACATTTGGAGTTTCATTAATTCTTGTGGTTTCAGATCATAGAACAAGCATAATAGTCCCATAAGTTTTATAAGGAGCTCTCCATAGTCTTCTATATTCTCAGGAACTTCTATGGATGCCATTTTTAGAGATGAGAGATTTAGCCCAAAAATGGATGAAATCCATTTAGCGAAATACTGTCTTTCAATCATTTTCGATTTTCTATTAAATAAAAATTCTCTGACTGACTCAAGACTAATCGTAGTCACATTTGAGTGAAATTCAAGGATTAACTTAAGTTGGTTAAGAGTAGGATACAATTCAATGGAATTGAATCCTTTTAAGAAGTGTTCAATTGCTTCTACGTTACTACTTTCCCACCTTGTTATACCTTCCCCGTCGATATCACATAATCAGATACCCCTATTGCTCATCTCATTTGCAAGTTCCTCACCTAGGCCAGATCCAAAGAATTTTTGTTCCAAAGCGAGGTCAAGTTTGCCAACCAAAACATCGCTTTTATACCCTAAACTTTCAGAATTTAGCTTTTCCAAAAATTCTGGGGTGAATTTCTTCTCCACTGCCTCCACAGATGCTACAATTCACCTCTTGGCTACTTCAACGCAATCTGTAATACTTGGCTTATATTTTTGGAGAGAATCCTTCAATCTAATATTTTCATATTGATCGTCTCACTTCTCATCCTGTGAAGGAGATGATTTAGCAGGATTATCTTCAGGTTCAAGGTTTGGGGCGTTCTGGTTGATAGAGTCAGCTTCTTGCCTATGCATCTCACTACTTAATTCAATAACCTCAACATCCGCTTCGGCAAGGCCTTGGTTTGGTCTCCTGGAATTATGAAAACTGGTCTCTCTCCAGCTTGGAGAATCTGGTCTAGAAATTTCTCCATAGCCAAATTTCTTCTTATACGGTTTTTGTGTTGGTCTTTTCTTCGTATATCCATGCATTCTGCTATTTCTGGTAGATTTCCCTTTATATTTACTTGAAGCAACAAAACGCTTGGTTTGGCCTACGACATTAAATGAAATCTTACCTTTGTTAGCTTTCTCTTCTGAATCAGAATCCTTCAAGTTGGCTAATTCTCTCTGTGCAGCTAACTTTTTGCGCTCCATAAATTTTTGAAAACTTGATTGAGGCTCAACAGATTCAGCCTGAGGAGAGTCTTGGTTGTCATGATCCATATCTCTCTGCTTTTCAGTATTTTGTATTACTTTCATCATATTCGGTGAGGACTCTTCTCTCATGACAGAGTCATGTACTTTTGAAGTGCTGCTCCTATTCTCTTCAAGTGTCTCCATCTGTTTAGTAAAAAGCTTTCCTTTTCCACGAAATTTCTTAAGGGAAGTTTGGTCCAAGAATGATTCCTTAATTTGCTCTGAATCTTTCTTTAAACTCTTAGACAGTCCAGGAGAAGATCTTTGAATCTCAAGGGATTTTCTTGAATTTTGCTGCATAATTCCTTCATCAATTCCTTGGCGTTCTCAGACTTTCTGAGACTTGTGTATAGAGGAATCGTCAATAGAGATTTCTGCAGCATGTCTTTTGTTAGGTTTTGAATCAGAAGTATTGATGTTCTGTTCATGTTGTTTCACAAGATCTGATTGTTGCACCTCAGCTTTGTTTAGCTCCTGATAAGGGTCAATTGATAAATTCCTTACTTGCTTATTATCTTGTGTTCTTACTGAGTGTGATAGATTATTGGCCTGTTGTTGTTTCTTCTTCCAGATATGAAACCAGCTTCCACTTTCTTCAGATTTGGCAGTTTGCTTTAAACGATCTGTATCTGATTGATCTTGTAAATTTTGAGAGTCTTCATCATCAGAATTCTCATTGCGATCAGAAGCCCCAGGTGTACTTCTTTGCTTCATCCTTTGCTTAAAGCTATCAAAGATACTTGGGCTTTCAGAAGATACCTTCTTGAAAATACTATTATCTACTTTCTTCACTCTTTGAGAGGGTTTATCAGCCTGAGAGCCTTGCTTACTCCATCCCACAAGCCAATTGCCTTGTACATTCTTATTAGGTTCTATCCTGATATCACTTTCACTATCTTGAGCTTGGACTTGCATCTGACCTAGAATATAAATTCTGAACAGTATACCTCTAAAAGTTGAACTTTGCGCTAAAGATGTTCTATACTGAGTGAGAATTCCCAACTTGGGACTAAAAGCTTACCCTTTAGATTGACTTAGGTTCGAAGAAGAGTCTAGGGGTGCAAACCCAGAGTCCTTGGCAGTATTGTCTTGTACCTTCCCTGCAAATTTGGCATCTCTCTTATTAGGCTTAACTGGGAGAATATCTTTCTCTTTGGGTTTTACCTCCAACATTTTCCTATTCCGCATAAGTTGCAAAAATGGAGGGAAACCTTACTTTTGGTAAATATTAGGGTTAAAATTTTGATTCTCATTATTCAATGGGATTTCTGGAAAAATCTTCAAAGGTCTCTGGCCTCTCTAAAGGAAATAAGCCGGCAATATTTACGTTATAAGTTGTCCTGCCAGTTGGATTGTAAGATTTACCTTTGAATCCCTATAAACAGAATAAAACTTGTCATGGACTAAATTTATAGTCATTCCTTGCAAGTATCGAAAGAAGCTAAGAAGCAGGGAAAGGTACCTGAGGAGCAGAGCTACCTCTTCCTGTAAGGAAGAGGAGCCTCTCGTGCTCTATCTTCTCTCTCATATTTCTCTTCTTCATCTTCGAAACAAGCTTCTTTTGCTTTTGTTTGTGACTCTCCATTATTTTCCGGGGGTTAAATTTTATAAAATCTGCGTTCAACTTCTGAGAGGGAAAAAGGGGTTTTGGGGTTTTGGGGTTTTGGGGTTTTGGGGTTTTGGGG